CGGGCCGCGCGAGTGACGCCGCCCGGCCGGCTCTCCTCCGCCGCAGCATGCGCTACGTCGCCTCCTACCTTCTGGCCGCCCTCGGGGGCAACTCCTCCCCCAGCGCCAAGGACATTAAGAAGATCCTGGACAGCGTGGGCATCGAGGCGGACGATGACCGGCTGAACAAGGTAACCGCCGCCGACCCGAGCCTCTCAGGCTGGCGGCTCCTGGCCTGCCTGACCCGGGCGTTGGCGTCCGGAGAGGCCTACCCCGGGCTGGGTGCGCTTGTTCTGGGGTGTCCTCGTGAGGGCCCTGAGAGGGCAAAATAAATGGAGTCCCAAATCTCTGCGCAGATGAGTTCAGGGCAACATTGCATTCAAACGAAAGCTGCTTCATTCTCTTTATGTTTGGCCGTCTCAAGATGAGACCCGGGGCGCCTCCCACCTTAGGATGTGCTCTGCCACTAACCTGCGACTCCCAGCATGCCAACCTAAAAGTGCCATCTTTCCAGCCAATGTGAAAGTCTGCTTTCTGCTGTGTTTAGAGCTTAAATGAGTACACGTGAGGTGTGGGATAATTTCAGCGTTAAGTTTCAGAGCCTAGTTCCTGGTCCCCACGTGATAGAAGGGTCCCCTTTTGCTGAAGTGCAGGCTTGGGGAATTCGGCCTGTCTTACGTGCAGTGTCTCCAGCTCTGCCCTCACAGCCCAGGGAGGTTGTGGCCCACACTGGTGACTAATGGCTTCTGTGGTTGTCTACTCCAGGTGATCAGTGAGCTGAATGGGAAGAATATTGAGGATGTCATCGCCCAGGGTGAGTTGGCTTCTCCAACTCTCTGTTTTTGTGGTCCATCCTAATCCCTGCTGGCCAGCCTGTGGCCTGCCAGGCTTCGCTTGTGGACCAGAGCACCCTAGAAGCCTCCCTTGGTTTGAGCCAGGCCTCTCTGTGCTCAGTGTTGGACACTTCTGGACACATTAAGGACTGGTTGCTGACCTCATTGGATCCACTCATGTGTACACAACTCTGAGGCCTAGTAGCCCATACTTCAGAACTCTTTCTTTGGGGGGGGGTCCGGTTGTGGGGCCTGAACTCTGGGCCTGGGCGCTGTCCCTCAGCTCTTCAGCTCAAGGCTAGCACCACTTCCGGCTTTTTTTTTTTTTTTTTGCTTATGTGGTGCTGAGGAATGGAACCCAGGGCCTCAGGCATGCAAGGCAAGCGCTCTACCACTGAGCCATCTTCCCAGCCCCTATTTCAGAACTCTTACAAACACACTTCCTTGCCTTTTTTCTTTGTGTGTGTGAAGGGGTGGCCACAGGCTCCTACACATTGCTGAACAAATGGTTTCCTGGTTTCATGTGGCTAGAGCTGACGGGACTTGATAGGAGTTTGGGCTATTGGAGTAATGTGTCTACTGTATGCACAGGGCAGGGAGAGTTCAGAGATCAGACAGTAGCAGCTGGCTATAAACATGTTTGAATGGTTTAGCCTTAAGGGAATGAGTTGTACTCTGCTTCTAATTCTTAGAATCAAGTTTCGACGGTCAGGTCCTGGCTAGGAAGGTGGCTTAATAGTAGAGTGCTGGTTTTGCATGCATGAAGCTCTGGGTTCAGTTCCTCAGTATCACACACGCAGAAAAAGCCCGAAGTGGCACTGTGGCTCAAGTGGTGGAATGCACAGGAAGCTCAGGGACAATGCCTGGCTCTTGAGTTTAAGCCCCAGGACTGGCAGAAAATGAAAGAAGGCCCTGAAAGTGCATGCCATAGGTCTTGTCTATGCAGACAGTGCTGCCAGTATGTATGGGGCACGCTGGGGAGGTAGTTTCTTGGGGTTGTGTTTGTTCTGGAGTAGCCTTTTGGCTGGCCACCTGTTCTGATCTCACTACCCTACTTCTGTAGGTGTTGGCAAGCTTGCCAGTGTGCCTGCTGGTGGGGCTGTTGTTGCTTCTGCTGCGCCCGGCTCTGCAGCTCCTGCTGCTGGTTCTGCCCCTGCTGCAGGTGAGTGGAATCCTGGTGAGTGGTACAGGGCTCAGCCTCCCGCTGTGTCTGCTTGCCTGGGCTCAGCTGTCTCTGGGCAGTTGTGGCAGTGCTTGTCCTGTTCTTTCCGCAGCAGAAGAGAAGAAAGATGAGAAGAAAGAAGAGTCCGAGGAATCAGATGATGACATGGGATTTGGCTTGTTTGATTAAATTCCTGGTTCCCTGCAAATAAAGCCTTTTTATGTATCTTGAGTATTCTGGGCACTTTGTCATCAGCACTGGGAATTGGGGGGTGGGCATGGGGAGAAAGGCACTTCCTGCCCGCCTTGAGCAGGTTCCTGTCCAGTTGTACAGTGAAATCACAGCTTTCAAGGAATTGCCAGGAAAATTTGCTTAAGAAATGTTTTGTTTTGCTAGGTGCTGGTGGCTCACACTTGTAACCCTAGCTACTTTGGAGTCTGAGATCTGAGGCTCCCGGTCCAAAGCTAGCCCAGGCAGGAAAGTCCATGAGATTCTTCAATAACCACTCAGAAAACCCGAAGTAGTGCCGTGGCTCGATGGTAGAGTGCATGCCTTGAGGTGAAAAGCTGAGGGACACGCCCAGGCCGAGAGTTCCAGACCTGTGACAGACAAAAAATGTTTTGTGGTAATGGGGTTAGGGCCTTGTGCAAGCATTCAAGTGTTCCCTACCATTTTTTTGGGGGGGGGTCTGGTCATGGGGTCTGAACTCTGGGCCTGGGCACTGTCCCCAGCTCTTCAGCTCAAGAATAGCGCTCTACCACTTGAGTCACTGTGCCACTTCCGGCTTTTTTCTTTTTTGCTTATGTGGTGCTGTGGAATTGTACCCAGGGCCTCAGGCATGAAAGGCAAGCGCTCTACCACTGAGCCACCTTCCCAGCCCGACTTACAGCTTTTTTGAGGCAGTTAATTGGAGATAGGAGTCTTAGACTCACACTTTTTGCCTAGGCTGACTTTGAACCATGGTCTTCAGATCTCAGCCTCCTGAGCAGCTAAGATATGTACAGGCATGAGCCACCATTGTGGGCTACATAATAAGTTTGAGGCCAAATGCAATGGGTGGGCCTTAAGTTTTGCCTAGGAAACCCTCTAGAGGAAGAAGGGAGATGGATGGAGCTAGTCTGATCTGCATAACCAGGAGTTCAGGTGACCACTTAGGACCTAGACTTCTGGGTTATGGCAGCCAATCTCCAGAGATGGGATGCAGTAGGGAGGGGGCAGGCCCCTGGGACTGGAAAGTCCCAGGGTTCAGAAGCCAGAGACAAGATTCTCCCCACAACCTATTCAGAGCCTCCAGTGAAGGCTCTGCCCAGCTCTGGGAGACCTCTGCCCCCATTTCCACAGAGGGTCAAGTTGTTTTGTGTACACAGCCAGGAACAGGCTGGCTGTTCCCAGAATCCTGGGTGGAGCTGGGCTGCTCCTACCCCCAGGCCAGCTGAGGTCCTGCCCCTGGTGACACCAGCCTCTTGAGTCCAGGCTGGAACTGTAGCTTCATTCCTCTAGGCTCTTTGACCCCTGCCCCAGCCTTGCTGCTCACTGTCCCTGGCTGCAGTCCCTGCCAAGGTCTTCATTTCTTTCCTTTACCCACTCAGGCCCTCCCTCCCTTTACACCTTTTGGTTTCACTCCCACTTCAGTTCTTCCTGGAGCAATCAATCAGAGGATGTTTTGTTCTGTTTTCCTTCTTGTTGGTAGTACCGTTCGAGCTCTGGGCCTCTGCCCTTGACATATGAGCCACCACCCTGGCCCCTTCTCAAACTCTTTATTTTTCAAAGGACTTTGCTCAGGCTGGCCTCAGACTCACCTCCTGAACCACTGGGATTACAGGCATGGACCACCATACTTGGTCTCAAGGGAAATCTAGTTTGGAGCCAGGAGTATGGCTCTGGTAGAGCTCCACCACTTCATTACAATACAGAACTTCTGGTCAGGCACTAGTGGCTTACAACTGTAATCCCAGCTACTCAGGAGCTGAGATCTGAGGATCACAGTTGGAAGTCAGCCCAGGCAAGGAAGTCTGTGAGACTCATCTCCAGGTAACTACCAAAAAACTGAAAGTGGAGCTGTGGCTCAAGTGGTAGAGTGTCAGCCTTGAGCAAAAAAAACCCCAAAATCCTAAGATAGTGTGCCCAGGCCCTGAGCTTAAGCTCCAATATTGGTACACACTAAAAGAACCTTTTCTCCCTCTCTGGACTGTGTGTCTTGTCCCTGTCCTCCCTTGGGTGTTAGCTTCCCATCTCCCGACGAGAAGGCAGAGCCTGCACACTGTGCGCCCCTAAGAGGTCCAGCAGCCTGACAGCCTGAGGAAGGAAGGAGCTTCTCCGGGAGGCCTGGCTACGGGGCGAGCCAGCTGACAGGCAGGCCTTTCCTGAAGGACTCAGCAGCCACCTCCAGTGCAGTGGCCTGGCGAGAGCTGGGGGAACACTCCAGGGGGCTGAGCAACTGTCTGAGGTGCCTCGAGCTGTGGGGGGGCACCCACACCGCGAGCAGGGCCACCCACCGGCCGAGGCCTTGAAGCCCACGGTGGACCTTGGCTCCCCGGCACGCCATTTGGGCCCCGAGCTGAGCAGGCCCCGGGCAGAGGCCCGTGGTCCACTGCCCCACACCTGGCCAGCTCCTCGGCTCAGGCTCAAGGAGGGGACCAGGTGAGGCCCGGTCCCTGTCGGAGCCAGGGAGAAATGTGGGAAGGGGGTGGGGGTGGGGGGGGCAGGCTCAGCCCTGTAAGGCCCAGGTGGAGCGCCAGGGACCGGACCTCAGGGCCAGCCACAGGGCCTCAGGGCCAGGGACCAGATCGCAGGGCCAGCCACAGGACTGCAGGGCCAGCCACAGGGCC